CTAGGCTTGGCGGCAGCCATAGCGATAGTGGCAAGCAATATAACCTATTAAAAAAAAACAAAGATAGTGTAGTTAAATTAATCAACTAAAATAATGTTTTTACCACCTAAAAATTACCAATTATAGATATTTAAAATTTGAGGATATAACTACCTTGTACATTTTGTTTTAGTTTTTGGAAGTTGCTTTGAGAGTTGCAAGTGATATGTGCTGTTCGGTGACAATACGTACTTTATATACAAAGAGTATTGGCAAGATTCACCTTGTAGAATTTCGACATTGCAGTTGTACGAAAACACTCAACGTAAATGCAACCGAACAAATTACTATTCTGCAGAAAAATCCGTTAAGTGTGCTTAAAGTATAAATTAAGTTACGATGTAACTAAGTCAGATGTGACCAACAAATTTCGTGATAATAGTCTTGTGTATTTACCCTGCAACTATGTAAAATAAATATAGTCCAGTATCAATACTAAGTACCAAGAAAAGTATAAAGTGAGCTAAAATTATCTGCCGTTGATATTAACAGCTACAAATATCATAATGTTTACTTTCAATATTTTTTAGCGTAATATTCAATTTGATATTTATATTCCAAATAGACAAAAATGGTTTCGTTCGTGATGTCAATTGTACTGATAGATAAAAAAATGTTACAATTGGAGTAAACACATATCTTTAGTGTTTTGAATACATTACTTATTAAATGGATTGAAACAAAAATCGCTTGATAAATAGTCACTAATATTTACTAGTATCGATGTTCAACCTCATACAAGTAAAACAATTTGAATACAACTGGTTCTACGAGAATTAATGTAGTTTGATTAAAGGTACCGCCTATCCGTAAAAAAGCTTAACGTAGTTAAGTTGGATCAATAAATTATCAGAATTTAATTTATATGCAATTTAATATTGTTTTAATTATATCTATAAATGAAATCAATAGATATCTTAAAGCTAAATGTCAATAAAGATAACTTAGTAAGTAATCAAGTTAATTAACGATGCGTGAACGACACGTGTTAGCATACTAATATTGTAAGTTCCTATTCCTTATTTGTACAGAATTTTTTGTTAATTTAAAACCGATCTATTCGTTTCATATCCCATCTTTTTACTTTTTCTTACTGGCTTTTGAAGAAATTCTTGATCAAAACATTTATGGCTAAAATAAAACGCTTCTTTAAATCATAATATTGTTTTATTTGGAATAAACTTTAAACTTAAGCATTTTAGGTCCTTTATAAATTACCGTTTGAGTTTAATTATTATAAGAATCACAGACTTAACAATGTGTTAGAAACCCACTCGTGTCAAGGACTCGAGTTATGTCTAGGTGCTCGAAACCTTGAAACATTCCTTTGTAAAGTTATACAGACCTTCTTAGGTAAACTTTAAACAATCTTGCTGCATAGTTCCTAGTGTACATGTCTATACAATAGGTAACTTTATTGTGTTATAAACTTTTGCTAGATTATTTATTCTTCATAAATCTATATCTTATTTCTATTAAATGATACGATCATTTGCAGCGGAACATCTTACCTATCGATTTATTATAAGTGTTAAAATAACTTATACAATAAACGACCCCTTAATAGGCTGCTAATAACTTTTTTTTTAATTTGACCGGATACTGAAACAAATCTTAGACACTTCGCTTAAAACCTGGCAGGAGTCAAATTTATAAAGTAATTTGTAGTTTCATCGTGGCCGTAAATTTTAAGACGCTGTTACATATTTAACTGTCGTTCTAATATTTGGTCGTTAGATACAAAAGGTACATCTTTACTTATTTTGAAAATTGTACTCAGAATTTTACCTTATTTAATAAATAGCATCGTAGCTAATTGAATGTGAGTTTATGAAGGAAAGTTGACTATGGGATATTGTGGAATCCAGAATATTAATAAAACTGTAATTTTTATAAATATAATAGTTTATTTTTTTTT